AAGGGGTGAGGCTTCTGGGATCCTGGCCAAGTTCTATGTGTGCATATGTGTGGTGGTTATATAGAAATATTCACTTTGTAAACACTTATGGAACTGTAGAGTTAAGATTTGGGCACTTCAGTGTATGTTGTACCTCTTTAAAAATAAAATGCAAAAAAAAAATGATATTATTGATAATCAGAATGTTGAAGCTCCTAGTAGGTTCCTCAAACTTTTGTATGTGACAGGAGGGCAGATAGAGTGTGAGGGTGGCAGGAGAACCAGGACAAGGACAGTACTAAGAATAATAGCTAAGCACTAGTCCTTGGCATAAAAGATGAAAGAAAAGGAAGAAAACAAAACCATCCTCCAATCTTTTGAAGGAGCTGTAATTACCCTGGTTCCCATAGAAGGAAGTAGCTCAGTGGGGCTAAATTACTGGCTGAAATTACAGAAATCTATATAATAAAACTGGGACTGGATTCTTCAGACTAATCTTAAACTCTTATTCTTAACCTGGATAAGAGTCTTAACTCCATACTTTTTGTTGCTTACAAAAATAATGATTAAAAACACCTCATTTTGAAGGGAAGACCATCAGACACTAAAGGAGGGCAGAATTCCAAAGTTCTGCTTTGTTTAATAATAATATATAGCTTCACCTGCATAGATAAAGCAGCAGAGGGCAAGTATGTTTAAAGGCCACAATATTGGCTAATTACTAAAGACCATATGTTTCTGATGATCCTGATGAAACCAGAAGGAAATCTGAAAGTTTTTGCTAGGACTTTACTATTCTGTTCTCTGGTTAGTTATCTGTTAGTTTTTCTTTCTGCCAGTGAGACCTTTGCAATTTAAGAGGAAAAAAAAATTGAAAAGAATAGGTAATAACAGAGTTTGGGCACAATTTTTTTGTGTCCTCAAAGGTTCTCAATCTTCCATTTACTTTCTTTGCAAAACGGTCTGCTTTATTCTTCAGTAAAGAGTTTCGAACTGCTAGACTTGGAACCAAAAGATCCTTAATGATTTTGTTATAGCATTTCATAAATAGTTTTGCTGAAAGTAGACATGTATTAGATTATATTTAGATTATCTGCTGCTTCTTATGGAAGAATAGGCTTGGTGACCCCTGAGTCAGGGAAATTTTCTTCTTACACAATTTATCTCAGGCAATGATATTCACCACATTACCTATGAAGTCTTTATGGGATATGCCCCCTCCTCAGGACAGAACTTTTCTACTACTTTGCTGACTTATTCCTCACCCTAATTTTCTAATTTGTCTGCAGGAAGGCTTTTTATGTGCATCATGTTAGCACAAAATTTGGGAAAGAGAGTGAGAAGAAAAAAGCTTAAAGACACTATAGTTAACAAAGCCAATGCTTATGCAACACATACACACTTTATTTTATCACTCTCAGGATGCACAGTACTTGGCAATTTCAACCCAAAGATTAAAAATAATATCTTTCTCAACTCTAAACTCTCACACAGGGTCTCTTAAAGAAAATTTCTCCCATCACCCCCACCCCCAACCCCCAGTAGGTCTAAGGGCTTAGAAACCATTTGAATCTACACATCAATGCAGCAGAAAAAAGACTAATGAGTGGCTACCATTAGATTTACTCAGCTATGCATCCCTTGATGTGTTCCAACTCTGGTCATTTTAATCTGCAGTGCTTTTCCTTTCTAGCCACACATTTAGGGAAAGGGTTTCATCACAGCTAGGTTCTTCTACAGCAGGGTTTCTCAACTATGCTACTGATATTTTCAATCAGATGATTATTTGTTGTGGGAAGCCGTCTTGTGTACTGTAGGACGCTTAGCAGCAGCATTCTCCAGCCCTCTACCCACTATAAACCAGAATCACCACTCCCCTTGCACCCAGCTTTGAGAAACGAAAATGCTTCCAGACATTACCAAATGCCCCGGAAGCAAAATGGTTACAAGTTGAAAACCACTGTCCTACAGAATAAAAACAAACCACAGAAATATGGAGGAAGAAAGAGGACATTTTTGACAAGTATATTTTAACAGATTTTAAGCTTTCCAGGAGGACCTTTCATCTAGACAATTCAGACAATTTTCCTTTATAAGAGAGGTGGGAATTGCAGCACTGCATCCATCATTTCGGATCTGATCTGCCATTGGCTTCACTATACTTACTCTTCTTTTGAAGGTTAGCTTGTAATAATTTTAGATGCTTTTGAATCCCGGTCAGAATACCTATTTTCTGCTCCAAAATGGACAATAACTGGGCAATGCAAAACTCGACATCGCAGTTTACCCCGTCAGCTGTCTCCTGAATGTTACTGCCCGGCCTTTGGCTTGATTCCTTCCAGGAAATTATTGCATCCTCCATTAATGGAGAGGACGATACTTCCATTTTTGGGGGCTCCTCCTCCTCCTCCCTCTGTGTACAAGGTATCTGAATAAATGCATCCCTCTGAAGGGATATTTCTGAATTTCTAATGTGATTTTCCAGCATCCTTGGCATCTCACGTTCTGCAGGATAAAGACAGCGATGGTGGGGCTTTAAATTTAGAGTTAATTCTTTTACTCTATTTGCATATCTTAAAGTGTTGAGGGTGTTTTCACAAGAGGCCATCCCTGGAGAAATAGTGGCAATCATGCAAGTGGACGAGTTCTGGCCTATAAAGGAGTCACGGAGCACCTGGGTGAGTTTGCTGCCTCTGAACGGGGTGTGAGACTTGTTCTGACCCAAAGCGCGGATGCATTCTTTGAGTGCCAGGAGGCTCTTATTAATCTCTGCTCCTTCCAGCTGCCGTCTCCGGTTGGCCTTGGCAGTATCCGCTCCCCTTTCGTTCCCAGCTAAGTCAACCAGGGAAAACTTGCCATGTAGCTTTCCTCTAGACCTTAGGATGATCTGGAACACCGCGTGGCTCCTGGAAGAGTGGGTGTTGACAGATGTCTGTCCTGAAGTCCGGCAGCTGTTGCCTTGTTCCACGAGGGTCAGCATGTCCTCCACACAGCACACTTCCTGCTCCTGCAGCCCGACCACCTGGATTTGCTGATTGCCATCCTCAAGCACTTGCAGCTTCCTCTTCCAGTTCAACAGATCATACACCTTGCCACCGTAAATCTCAAAAAATGTCCCATAGACTTTGAGGTCCAGCTTCTTGTATGCAGAGGTTTTGAGCAGGAGGAAGACATCCCGGGCCGCCATTGCATAAATGCCTTTAGAACAGTCTTGGCCCTCTCTGGAAAAGGCCCCGCCCATGGTGTGCGTCTTCCCGCTGCCTGTCTGCCCATAGGCAAAGCAGGTGGCCATACCCTTATGAAAGATGGACTCGACCAGCGGCTGGGCGGTGAACTGGTACACCAGCTCGTTGGAGGCTGTGTCATCGAAGGCGTGGTCAAAGCAGAAGGTCTGGTTGTCCAAGTAGCGAGTGAGGTCCACCTTTTGCTTGGACTCGTGCACCATGACCACGTTGTCCGAGGGGATGGTGATGATGTCCAGGTCCTTCATGGTGGTCTCCCGCTGGTTGAGAGGGCGCTTTCTCACGCAAACACAGATCCGGTGGTCCTCCCGCGGCTCCGGGCCCGACATCCGGCTGCTGTCCAGGCGCCTGCGGTACTCCTCGATCATGCACCGGATCTCGTGGTTGGGGTTCCCTGCGTTGACGTTCAGGGCGCGCTGGGCTCTGATTTCCAGCTGCAGCCGTCTGCGCTTCTCCCGCTGCTTTTGCAGTTTCTCGATTGCCCGCAGGCAGGGAGACTTTTTCAGCTTCATCAGGCAAGGATTGCTGGGAACCCTCACGGCCAGGCTGTCCCCTGAGGGTGTTTCATTTTTCTGGGGAGTCGTGGCAATCCACCGTGTAGCCCTGCGCTGGTCCCCGATGGCCGAAGAGGGCGCTAGAGACAAGAGTGACAATGACCTTCCCATAGTAGGGTGCTCGGCAGAGGCCAGGGCTGGATTCAGCAGGAATATGGTCTCTAGATCAATCTTCTTGCCTTTTTTGACTCCTTTTTCGACCCACTCTACCGTGACCCACTTGTGTTCTCTTTTGATCTCGGTGACCACGGCGAGGTGGATCCGCCTGTCGCTGCGCTGGATCGCCACACAGATACCCACTTGGACGTTTCCGAAGTGTGATTTCAACGGCTTCGTGGACGAGAGGCGCGGGGAGACTGGGAAGCTTAACTGGCCTGCCATGGTGATTGATGGAGGTGTCAGGGCTCGCCTCCAGGGTCCCTTGGGGTTGGAGCAGAAGGACCTGAGCCCAAGCCAGCCTGAAGCCCTCAGAGCACTGAGTGAGCTCCTGGTTTGCATCTACCTTTGTGAGCAGTAGGGCTTGGCCTGGGGCCGCTCGCATCACAAAGGGATGGGGAGGAGGGGCGCAGAGCCTAGGGCGGGGCCTAGGTGAGAGGCGGCGGGGAAAAATCACTTCATTTGTGGTCTTAGGTGTAAAGGAAGCTGGAATAGAGAGATTGCTCTCAGCCACTGAGAGTTTAGGGAGCAGAGTTGGCAGTGGAGTGTATGTTACGTGACATTTGTGCTTACGTTTTAGAAACATCCGTTCTCCCCTGCAGTCTTGACCTGCAATCTCAAAGCTAAGTGCTTTAGTTTGAGAATCAGTGAATGTTCCCTTAAACTTTAAGTCACAACTTAAAGTTTTTCCTGCTTAATGGGATTTCTCATTATAAAATCAAAACGAGTTGACTCTAACAGGTTCTTGTGGTAATTTGCTAATATGGAATTCCTTTGTTGCGGCATCTGGGTTTGTAAACATAAGATGTTTATCACATTCCAAGTGGCTCTGACAGCTATAAAGTGAGCTGTTGTACTCACTGCAGTCCTCACTATTTTTGAGATTATTTCAGTAATTACGGTTCCAAACTCCTTCAGTAATTACACTTCTGGCCTCATTATCCATAATTTGGAGAGGAAAGGCGTTTGGTGCAGAGAGATAATTCATCTTATACCCTAAAATGTGTGTACATGTCCTTCAGAAGTTGTTGTGGGCATAGGGGTTGGGAGATGGGAAGGCAGCTAAGATGGTCAGAGGCAATATATTCTGGTAAGATTGCACCTTTTTTTTTTTTTTTTCTGTAGGATTATCTGCAAAAATCAACAATTACATTAGCTGCATGAGGATTAAGGTGACTCTTCGTGTTGAACTTTCTTTTCCCCCAAGGACCACATTGTCTTTTGGGCTATGAGTCTGGGGGTAACTGCTCTGACAGAGCCACAGTAGCATGAAGTATCATGATGTCCTCAAGACTCTTCTAGGATGGAGTAACATGTGGAAATAAGTTTTTATCATAAACTGACTTCTTTTAAATGGAAAGTTCCTCTTTTAAATAAATTTAATAAAGCTCAGCTTTTGAAAAGAAGGTGTGTGTGTGTGGGGGGTGATTATTGGCAAAGCTGGGTTAGTAGGCAGTGCTTGCTACAGAGGGATGTTGAGTACCAGTGGAGGGATGGGAGAAGAGGCTTTACCTAGTTGTGTCTTTATAATTATTAATGTTTTATTTGCCACATTATCAATATATAAAAATTGTGCTTTAAATCAGTTTTTTTCCTTAGGTTCAAGGGCATTAGGTAAATGTTTTTAATCCTTTTTTTTTATTAAGTTAAATTATATTTTTGAAAGCATTGTGGCTTTAGAGTACTTACAGTTTTTTTTTTAATTTTTATCTTTACCTTTGAAAAAGCTTGGCCTCTTTCAAAATTATGTAAATTCCAACTTTTCCCAGTTAAAACTTATTTTTATGACAAAGCCAATAATTTTGTAGATGACTTGGTCTGTGGCAATAGTGCAAAAATCAGAGATTGAAAATGACTGTAACTCAATAAAAAAAAGTTTAAAAAAAAGAAAAAAATCTGAGACTAAAGTTTATTTTACTATCCAACATATCCATAAAGGTCTTTTTTTAGCTATTTCAGGATATTTTTCCCTCCTCCATTCTCTTCTCTCTTATATAGTTTCCTTAAGATATCTCATTTGTTCCTACAGTTTAATGTTTTTAGTTGGAGGTAATATATATATATATATATATACACACACACACACACACACACACACGAGTGGAAAAGAAAGAGAGAGACACCTCTTAGGTGTTTTTAATTACCTTTAGTAGCTTCAACACCTACCCACTAACAAAAGCCTGAAATAGACCTTTGACTTCTCCCACCTCCTCAGCTCATCCTGATTTGGAGTTAAGTATTCCTTTCCCAGCCTCTAGAAATCTTATGGAACTGTGACATCTTTTAATCTCCCAACCAATCATGATTATGTTTCCTTGGGCAATCTCATTCAGTCAGGAACTCAGCCTATTTCTCACACTGCCTCTAGGGTTATTTCAATGGATAATTCCTTATTAATTTCCTGCTTACACACATTTTAGTAGCTCTGCATCATTCTAATTAATATAGTACAAATTCCACAAAAAAGCACATCTCATCATGCACTTTGCCATCTCACCTACTTTTTCATCCCCAAACTTTCCCACTGTCCACACTTAGTCTAAAGCTGAGCCAGACTGAGGAACTTGAGGTTCTGGAAACAAAGCATTTCTTTCAAATTATTACTGCCTAGCCCAGTGGTTTTCAATATTATGGTATGTGAAATTCACCTACAGAGCTTGTTAGAACACAGATTGCTGGGCCCTACCCCAGAGATTCTGGTTCAGTGAGAGTGAGGTGTGGGGCTGAGAATTTGCATGTCTGACAAATTCCCAAGTGAAGTTGATGTTAACTGTTCTGGGATCACACTTGGAGAATTACTTTTTCAGCCCTCTGAATAGAATGGCTTCTCTCTACTTCCTCATCCCCTTGAATAAATGCTTCAGTACCCATCTTAAATCTGAGTATCTGGAAAAGTTTTTCAGACCCTATTGATAATAATCAGGCAAAAGAGCATTAAACTGAGACATCGTTCCGAGAAACAGTATCTATTACTTGTTGGGTTTGTTTGATCAGGGGAACTGAGAAGATTCATTTTCAGCAGCAACTATATATATAAAAAAAAGTCCTCATAGGTTAACATAACAATAATCTGTAGAGAGTCATCCAGTACTTTTACAGTTTTGATAGTCTGGAACTTCACTTGCAGCAATATCTTTTGTTTATCTACAAGTACAAAATTCAGAATTCAGATACCGTGTATGTAACCCACTCATTTTATGGGGTTTATTCTAATGGAACAGTCCACCTAAGAAAACATGGTGAATCTTTAGTAATAAGACAAATCCAGCATATATCAAAGTGTGAAAACCTAGGTACAAGTGATGGCATCATTCTTGGCCATGGCCTGGATAGTCATTTAATCTGGTGGATGAGCAGTCCCTCCACATTGGAGATAGAAGTCACTATGATGTTTTTTGACTGACTATAACCAAGCAGTAAGTATATAGGAAATGCTTGCCATGTGCTATGTCCTGTGCCTAAGGGAGCCTATCCTCAAGGAACTTAGTGTTTTCACATTTTGTTCTATGTACCTACTATGAAGCCTCTGCCTTAACAAACAACTGACATATCATGGCTTCATTTCAAATCTCCTTTAATCAAAAGTCATAAGTATCAGGTAGTGTGGGAGGAAGTAAGCACAGGAAATGAGTTTAGTATTTTCATTTATTAATTACAAGTATATCCCCAGGTTGCGGCCTGCCAGAGTTACTTTATAGGAGAGAATGTGATTTCTAGCCTCATTTTGGATGCAAACCTCCTGGGAGAAATGCATCAAATAAGTGCCTTCCTTGCATGGTTTTAATGGACATCTAGCAGCTGTTCTGTTCACTTTGGGGGTCTGCACTTTTTCAGTACATGGATGCAATCTGAGGTTGATTTAGTTCTTCAGAGGAGCTCGGTAGATTTTCCCAAATATCTCTGAAGAAATGGAATTCATCATTTTCAATTTAGAAGTTTTTGTTTTGTTTTGTTCTTCCTTTGAAGAGCAGAGTGATACCTTACCAAGTGTATGCCTTTAGAAAGCAAGGGAAAATTAACTTAAGATGAGAATAGCATTTTACTATGGCACCTATTATCTCTGCCTTCTGACATTTCAACATTTTCCCCATGCACTGTGCTTAACCAGAACTGATAAGTCCACATTTCTCTAGCCCTCTCACTGATTTAATAGGCAAGAATTGTTTCTATGACAACAGCATCACCTCTGAGCTATCTTTCCCCAGCTTATTAAGCAGTACTGCGTACCTGGAGATATTTATATGATTCCTATATATCTGTTGATTTTGGAAGTTAATCTATGAAGTTAGCCAAGATGGTAAGACTAATAATTGTCATTGTCTAACTTTAAACCTATTTGTGTTGGTCATCTTGCAGCTTTCAGTTTTATTTAGGATACCGGAGGAGGAGGATTGGGCTCTGCTGACGATCTACATATCAATGCTGGTTGTAACTCACACTGAAACTACAGAAATCGTGTTAACTCATGAATAAAGCAGGTGCCTTTGGAGTTCAGCTGTAGCCCTCTAACTTGAAAGCCATGTTCCTTGCCCTCAGAGTCTTCCTTAGATTCTCCAATTCAGGGTATATTTAAATTCATTTGCTATGGAATAAAAAACAACAAAATGTTATAGTTTTATAAGAAATAATTGTAGGAACTTGGATATTTGTCCTAGAAAAGATTTGCAAGACAGACCTTTCTATAGAGGGCTACCCTATAGAAAAGGAGCATAATTTATTCTACTCAATTTGAGATATGTGAATGTGTAGTAACTCCAGTGCTGGGCAATCAGAACTCAGCTCAGCATCTCTTCTCTTGAAAAGCATTCCTTGACATCTATGCTCCCTTTCCACTACCTCGATCACAACTAAATTGACTGTCTTCCTCTTAATTCCCACCTTTGTTTCACACTTATTTTTGACACTGCACTTACCATTTTTGATTAAAAGCATCTGCATTTGTTTTTCTAGGTAAATAATTAAGGGCCTTGAGAGAAGGGAAGAGTGCACTTTATTCACATTTGTATACACGGTTCTGGAGTATGAATTTATCAAGTTTCCTGGAACTGTGAAAAGTAGCACAGTAGAAGGATTTTTCACAGAGAGACTTCAGGTCAAACTAATGAAGGACCTCATTCAATCAGATATGCATTCAAAAAACCTTAATGGCTGTCTCCTAAACGTCACAGTCTGAGCTAAACGCTAGATAAGAAATAGCAAAGAAAATAGCCCTAGGCTCTGCCCTC